GATTTACGTTAAGATCTGCAAGATCTGCAAGATCCTGCAATTTTTATTGGCTCCGAGCCTAATTTTTGTAGATCCTTGGCCCGGGATTTTCTTGACATAAGGGAATCCGTTCGAGTTCGAGTTCAGGTTCGAGATCTACAAAATTCATGGTTCGGTTCGGTGTTCAGTTCGAGTTCGGCCAAACCTGGTTCGACCCGAACCCGAACCTCGGAACACTATCGATAATATTCTTATGCTCTGTACGTTAGTATTCAAATCGGAAAATATGTAGATTTTTTCGACCGATAGTTAACCAAGTTAACGGTTTTTGCCAAGAAAAAAAAATATTAATATGGAAAATAAATAAATATTAATTGTGTAGCATTAGGAAGACGGTGGACAGCTAGTCATTTTTGTTATTTTTTACTGAGTCGGTCAACGAACATAAAATATTTGTTCGAGACAACCAAAAAAATAAATAAAAAGCATCGATAACAATACAATAAAATAAATCCGAAATCAGCCACCTGGTTGGCTTTATTTATTGCGAAATTTATATGTACAATAAACATAAATCTAATTTTATTTGACCGTGATCGGGGATACATCGTATCTAAATATAATAGCATATACACTTTTATTTTTTCACTTCACACCAGATACACAAGTTAAAAACCAAATCTCTTATCGAGAAAAATTTGTATTTTAATGATTAATCCTACAGGCTATTCATTAGTGCAATAGACTCTCCTGCTAATTAGACGATGCAAACCTACCCTCAAAACAATAAACATATATCTCAACTCTGCATCATGTCGTTTTTTTAACGGCTCTAAATATTCTTTTCTTTTCTTTTTAATCTTCCATTCTAAAGCTTCACGAACTGTCTTTTGATCTGGTCGGTATGGATCACTAATTTCAAGATTTAAAATTTCATCCTCTAATTTCGTCATCAATGATCGTGATACTTGTGTTGCTTCCTGCCAAGTACCTTGAGCTCCGTTTAGGTTAATGTATTCCGTCCTAATATTATCAAATTCGATTGCTATCCTTCTTCCGGTACTTGTTTTCACTAAATCGATTGCCTTATTGCCTAAATTAGAGTTCTGAGAATTTACCCGAAACTCTGGTTCAATGTTTGCATGAAGAGTGAGAATTAACGTGTCCATAAAAGATTGCTTCAAGGCCTCTTCATTTGAATGCTTAACACTATTGAATAATGATACCGGGCAGCGAAGCCGCCCACATTCACATGCTCTAGTTTAGATAGATAATCGTGTAACAGAGGACACAATTTACAGTTCTATGATATTATGGAAGTGTTCTGAAATTCTTGCAACTTATACCTATGACATAACCATCCATTGTATTTCTAACCTTTTTGTTCACGTATATGAGATTTTTCATAGTGTTTTATGAAAGAGTAACCATCGGTAAAATAGTTGTCACACTCAGGGCAGTTAATTCGTGATCCTGATTTTTTTGATGCTTCTGTTGCCTTGATTTTTATAACAGATCAAAGTATATGAATTTACTGTATAAGTGATAAAAAATATGAAAGAACAATAATGACATACTTGTGAAATAATATCTTTGATCATCTCAACATCCAACGTAAACCCTGGTAATATGTCCCCTCCATCTATATCCCCAGGCACAAAGGCCTTTCCTTTCTCATTTCGCTTATATATCCACATTCTTTCATTTTTAGGATCAATCAATAAACCTGAAGTACCCACTGCAAAGTATTCAGATTTAAACTTTTCATCCAAATCATCAAATACCTTCTTTTTTTTAGTATCCGAATCCTTGATAGTATCCGAAACCTCAATAGCAACCGTTGGTGTAAAGGGTTCACCTTTGAAGGTCCAGAGTTGCTGTTGAGTCAAATGATGATATACATTTTTCAAAGTGAAGGATACATCGGGGGCACGAATCGTTCTTCTACCTCTAACATGGAAATTAAAACCTCCTTGGGAGGAAGTGATGACACCTCCCTGACCAGTTAGAACGTTCCAATTACCGAGTTTCCTGCCAATTTCTGAGACAACAGCTTCCATATTGATAGTTGCTTGTGGCATAGGTATTAGATTTCCGTTTTTGTCATGTTCGAAAAGATTAACAGGTTGTCCGTTAATTTCAAAGGTATG